AACAAGTCTATCTAAGATATTTAGCATGGAAAGGATTATCCAGGATAAATAGATTATAACATACTATGTTGTTCTCTATGTTGATGTTCAACACTGTGTTCTTCTTTTTGAAAATATTTTAAATTATCTCATGATTTAAAAAGCTGTAAGAGATTAAATACGCAATATTATAAATTTTAAAAACTGAATAGCTTTTATCGTAATAATTTCATTTGACATGCATTATATTGTCCTTCGTGTTATGAAAAAGGATTGTTGAAGGTCGTTTTGTAGTCGTGTGGAATGATGCTGAAGAACAACTTGACTTTGATCTACTAAAAATGGAAGTATACACTGAACATATTGGAAACGGTGATTATCACTTTATCATTAAAAAACATTGTTTTTCTGGATCAGTTGACCATAACTTGAAGATATACTATATATGCTCATTTTTAGTAAATTACTTTTATTGCAGATATCTATTAAAATCTAGTAAATTCTTCCTGAGTATGTTTAAATTGAATAAGTGACTGTATAAACTATGTTTGGGAAGCTGTAGTCCTTATCACTTGTCAAATTGATACAGTATAAAAACTGCCATTTTTATTGGCACTATGTAAGTATACTGTGATTACCTGTAGTGTGTAAAGTTTAAAACGTAACATATTTTCTCTGTGTGTATTCAAAAGATTTTTTGTTGTTGTTGTTTTCAAAAGAGAATGTATAGTAACAATCAGTTGTTTTTTGTTGTTGTTGTTTTTTTTTCGAATATCAAATTTGAGCATTATGTATCTTTTACATATAATAAGTACTTAAGTTCTTTACTGAGTGTAAGAAACTAAAGTGTCGGGCTTTGTCTTGCTGAGTAACAATATAAATTTCCTGCTAGAATTTTTCATTACATATCAGTGACTTGAAATTACTTATCGTATTTTGCTAAAAAGTTTATTTAAATGTTTATGAATGGTTGTAAAAATATGTTTTGCGAAGTTAGCGCACTTTTCTCTAAATAATAGATCATTTGAGTAGCTGTAATACGGACCTTGGAATGAGTGAGCAGAACATTAAAGATGCTCAGATATCGGCATCATCGTTTTACCATTACTGTCCACCAGTCAATGCCAGACCGTATTATTCTGGTTGGTGTCCGGATCCTTATGATAACATGCCTTATATTCGGGTATATATACCTTTTAATGATACTTCAAATTGTTTTAAGATTAAATCGTGCCTAATTAAGTCTCTCCTCATATGTCATATTTTCAAATTAATTATAACCTCAAAAATAACGCTGCAGATAGAAAGAAAATTTCAACACTTTATTTTGGGTCTGACAAATGCTATGATTTGGCTGCAAATGCTCTAATAGTGTTTTGTTTTTAAAATTTATGTAACAGATTTTTCCCTGCTATGAATCAGGATCAATCCATTCAAAGGTAAGTGGATTTCAGAATTAAAATAATAAAATTGAACTACCAATCTGAAGAACTTGGTCAATCTGCATGGAATTGTAGGTGGCATGTCTCAGATGACAAAGGCCAATCATTTTCGGTTTCAAATAAGGAAATGATTAATATCATATGCTCAAACAAAAGTACATGTAGTTATTTGTTTAACACCTTTAATTATGACTTTAAATGATTTTTTTTTCTTTTTTAAAGGTTGAACTTCAAAAACAGATGTTTATTGAGGGTGTTACATTTTACAATTCACGGGATGCTGAAGTGTCTTTGTCTTTTAGAAGTAAACAATGGGTGCCATTTGGTCCAGTTGAAGTGATGATTGCATTATCAAATGGTTACTCAAACACATCGTTATATATGTATAACAAGGTTAATAGCTAGTTTTTATCTTGTGCATCTACAATGTTAACATATGCATCTACAATGTTAGCATATACATCTACAATGTTAACATATACATTTACGATGTTAACATATACATTAACAATGTCAGCATATGCATCTTCAATGTAAACATGTAAATCTGCAATGGTACCATATAAATCTACAATGTTAACATGTTATTTCCTTAGTCTAGACCATTAACAGTAAATATATGTAAGTATATAAGTTCCTTCATATGAAAAATATCACTAACTTTCATATAATGTTATGATTATAAGCGTAACGTTATTTAGCAACCGATTTTATTCCGATTTGACTGGTTAATTTAAATTCTTTAATCTATACAACAATGTATGTATGTAGTGTTTGTTTTCAAAATGTACTATTTAGTTTGCAACTTGTTTCTTTGCTTTATGCATAAAATTGACAAGGAATATAGCTTTTATTGCTACGGTGGTGAAAAGACCAACAAAACACATGATGTGGTCAAATTATCATTGGCCGTTTTATGTTATAGCTAAATAGTAACCAAAGTGTAAATATATAGGATTTCGCATAATTTGCCATATAATATTAAATTAAGTATTAAACTAGTTCAAGAAATGGTTCTAAAGCGGTACTCAGGCAAACATTAAAAAAATTTCGTGGACGGAGAACTGGAACAGGAACTCTTGTTCTTAGCACAGATTATCAACAAATTTGAAACTCATAAGTTGTAATTCACAAACTGCAAAATTTCGTGTAATCAACTTATAATCGAAATTCTTTTATCTTTAATTTGGATCTTAGAAGGCTTCTGATTATAAATACAGAATACAAAATTTACATGTTGATCTATCAAGACCATTTACTTGTCATCATTGCAACCATATATTTTCAAGTACATGAAGACATGTGAAATTGATAAATACATGCATTAAACACTTTATGTAAAACATTTAACTGTATAGCACTCAAATTTCTACATATAATTGTCATGTCTGAATAAATATCAATACATCCGCCAATTATGAGTTGATGATAATGAATTCTTGCTTTTAACAAATATTCTTGCATTAAACAGACGGAGAGGAAAACATGTATTAACGTGATCACGCGTTTTCTTATATGCATGACTTAGGGCAGAATGAAGAAGAAGCTTAATGTAATGACGACCCGTTAGTTTTATTACCAAAATATAGACATTACACTAGCACATGTAAAGCTTGGCACAAGCAATGGCCTCTTTATACGAAAAGCTGATAACGAAACATGGGGTAACCCATTTATATGTAGAGTGTTATGTAAGAATATGGTTCATGCACATTATTTTTCGCGTATTAACATCTGCGAAAGCCCTCGAATTTATTTAATCCCTCGCACTGTGACCTTTGGCTTTAAATGCGTCATCTTGCTTTTACAGATGTTCATGCACAAGGTTGCTGTAATCTAGATATAGAAGTAGCCGACCAAAGTTACCAAAACGAATTTCAAAGTTTTATTCATCTACCAGTTCTTCTATTAAAAATGATTTAAATATTCATTATTATGAACAATAAAAGAGTGTGAAGTGTAAAAATATTATTTTTTGAAACGATAAATTGACGTTAAGAGTCGCATGGGTCCTCAAAATAATCCACCATTTTTTATTCTTTATCCAAGACGTTTGTTGTCGACACTTCCAAGCCAGATACGGTTCCACAGACAGTTTGGTTCTCGCAAAGTGTAATAGCATCAGCTGTGACTATTGAGATAGAGCGCGGACAGAGAAATCAGCATTTTTGTTTTAAGTTTGAACTACATGGCTGTAAGGATGTGGGTAAGCGAATGTTAAGTCATATCTTAGAATATGATTCAAAAGATATTAACCAGATAATGTTCTTTTATTCGAGTGCCATGTCAATATTTAATGCGCTATAATTGAACAAAAATAATTATTTTATAAATGCTTCATTTCATTGAAACCATAATTAAATCATGAAATAAGCAATGTGCATTGCATTACTAACACACTCAAGCCAGCGCCAATGCATTGTTTTAATTACTTTATATATCATATAGTAAGTAACATGTTAGCTCTGTCTTCGGGTGTTTTAAGAACGCGGGTCTTTCAATGATTTCAGTTTAACTCATAGGCATTAACATATACAAATGGTTTTCGAAACTTCATTAAACAGATCCTGTACACATCTTTAGAAATGAAAACTCATGTTTTATTATTACAGAAAAGCCAATATCGTCCAATATGTTAGTGAGAAAGAAGCAATTCGGATACTATGAGACTATTGCATTAACCAGCGAAATTTATGAGTTTACAAGTATTCTTAAAAGTGTCGAATTCCCAAACCAGTATGAGAATAACCAGGCGCGCCTTTGGATAATCAGATACCCTGAATTGCACTTTATCAAACTGGTCTTTACACATGTTGATCTAAACACTAATAGCGTAACTATCATGATTTTCTTTTTTATAGACTAATATCTTAACTATTATGTTTATATAGAATGTATATGAAACACGACTAGATAATTTTGGGTGCTTCAAATACTTCTATTGAATTATGCAGTTATGCAGTTCTACACTCTATTTGATAATGTCTCATGTTTGGTCGATTTTTATAGAATTCGTCTATGTTTGATCAATTATACAGAATTCTCCAAATGGTTTTACAATTTCATACAATGATATTTGTGTTAATTTTATGAAAATGTAAAGAAAATTGTGAATATGTTTTACATTGCATAACTTAAAGGAGAGTTTGTAATTTAATGTAGATTGCCACACGGGAGAAACATAATTTATACAAACAGTTTGAAATACCTTGTTCTGTTGTATATGAGTATGTTACAAAGTCATGGTCCTACATTCAAATATTGTTATAACATACAACGAATTTGGAGGCATGTATTGGAAACAACAATTATCTTTACAATGCAAATGTAGCATAATTATATCATGTTATGTAAGATATTCGTTCTCGGTAAACTTGGTTTTACCGTTACTAGCAAACTGTCCGGCAGGCACCGCAAATGGCCCTATAATTTACTAGAACCATCGATGGATACCCCTTCGGTTGAGGTTGATTAAGCCGTGGGTAAAATGAATCGATTTGAGTCGATATTTAGCAACAGTTGCGTGAAATATCGACCAATGAAATCATGTTTATTAATTTATATCCTCCAACGGCGACAATGAAAGTAAATTGTTTATTTTTTGCTTAAAATCGTTCATTTTTTAATAACATTTGACAGCTGAATTTAATTGGCTGTCGCAATTTTGTCTTTTATACCGAATGTCGTATAGAACGAGCGTTTTGATTGGTTTTAATCGTCTCATGAAATTGTAAAAAGGTAATCAATGCAAAAGCTGTCTTTGACACACCTCTAATCGACTGGTTATCGGCCAAAACTCCCGGGGCTGATAAATGTTGCTGGTTCAGTCGTTGGTATCCAACGAACAGCAGACGACCGAAAAACACTTTGTTGTTATAATGAAACATCCTGTAAAATCAAAAGCTCTAAATTAAAAAAAAACATAATACATTATTTTGATTACAGGTAGCGCTTGATAATTCAGAATACGCTTGCAATGATTCGGTGACGATATCTAATGATCTCCAAAGTTCTTCGAGAGTTATAGATAGTATGTTTAACGACGTGGAATTTTCGCTCACTGTAGAGACAAAAGAGACACAAATTGTTTTATCTTTTGTTTCGTGTCCAAACCACTCACCTAGAATTCGAGGTTCTGGATTTAGAGCGTTTGCCACATATGGCAGTAAGTAAATCTTTGAGAATGAATGTTTTGTTGTTTTGGGTTTGAACCCGTGTTGTTCCGATTTTGTTAAATGGGTATGCACTGTTTTTATTTTGGAACAGTCCATTTAAAGTTTAAAATTTGATATATAAAAATGCCATCTTTAACAATTTATGTGTCTTTACAACTATATGATGTCACAATTATATGCTCTATTTTTTCAGAAGTACCGGCCTGTTTTTCCGTTCTGACAGATGTGCCATGGCATGAAGGGTTGAAAGAGACTTGCAAAGGGTCAGAAATGACTTTTGCACCAATGAGATATCTTGGATTTCCGTTTGTAGAAACAGTTGAGCAATGGACAATTCATGTTCCGATGAAACGCCTACAGCTTAAAATTTTTGACTTCTATTTACCTTGCCAGAGTGGTATTTTCTATTATCATTATTCAGATATTTAGTTTTATTATTATTCATTTATCTATTTTAAATGATGTGCATTAAATGAAAAACATATTTAATATTCTAATATAATATAATAAAAATGCGTTCTTACTATGATTATTTCAACATCAAAAGTCAAATATTTTACACACAAGATAACTGAAAAGCAAATAAAACCTGAACAAGACTGGATTCATATATACAAATATTACAGGATACATGTACACATATATTAATATAAGTCAGGTATTGAAACTGTTATCTAATAGCTTTGATGCCTTTACTTTTTCGTACATTCTGAAATTTAAATGATCTTTATAAGAGAAAATTGACCCCCCACCCAACCGTTTTATCTGTAATATAGAAAAGTAGATTTGTAAAAGCATATATCAATATGCATACACATTTTAAAATTAAATATTTTATCTTTGTGCGCTTAGCATTGATATTTATGATAGGGATATACATACATGTACCTTGACAATTGCATGATACACTTATTCCGTACATATTTCATTGCACACACTAAGATAGTTTTTAAAAAAAAGCTGACGTTCGTCTTATACGTAGCGAGTTGTCGCGTTTTAACCGAGTCTGATTTCAGTGCTCTCAAAGGATCTTTGTTCTCACAACAACGGGTGTTACTCTTGTGTGGTAGCAGCCGTATCTCGTTGTTGTTGTATTTTATTGTCCTAAACAATCATATACTTCAAAGCTTACAGTGAGGAAAATTAGATATCACTCAAGTCGGTGCTTGGGTTTCGTAAGAGAGGTTGCACTTTTTGCTATCTCCCATGAAAAGACACGGACAAACCAAAACTGCAATTACTTCCTTTTTTATTTTATCAGCGCTGTTTCGGGATTTCCCCTTTCAAGATTATTGTTGATATAATTAACATCAATACAAATTAAAGAGAAATTAGCAATATTAAATTATATTAAAAATTCAATGGTGACATTGTATATGGAAAGATTAGAGAGCTGCGTCCTGTGATCGTCGCCTTTCCTTGATGATCTTGGTTGTCATTCTTTACATAATATAAACATAACATATTTTTGTTTTCTGTTTTAGAATTGTACAAGTCGGAATTCAAAATTAAAGATATGGGAAAGGAGACGTCATACTGCAATCTTAAAAGACCCCCGGATGTAGTCACCTCTTCATTCGATAGGCTAACCATTTCTTTTTATAAAGGACCTGACCCATGGCACAAACAATATATTTACACTGTCGAGGGATTTAGAATAACGTACACAGCAATAGAAGCTCCAGATTTTGGTATTGTAGACTACAAGTATAATATTTCTAAAGGTAAGAAAAGTAGTTCCTTGTTCCTATAAAATGTTCCACGTATTTATTCCACGTGCTGCTGAACGTGCTGCTGAATGCCTGCCTATTATAAAATTAAAGACATTACTTCAACTAATAACTTCATGGAAGTATCAATGCAATTAAACATGATTAAAAGCCACAACTCATTGCTCTTATAAGAAAATCGTGATGGGATTATGTCCATTAAGAGCTGAGATTTATTGTGTTTAGTTTTGCAGGAGTATTTAACATCCAGTCTGTTCGGATCTACATATTTCCTTTATGTAGATCTGATGACGACGGTATATGTTTCGCCTTCTTTATAATTCGGATTTCCCGAGAAAGCTTTTTTTAGCCACGCAATCAAACCGGTTGTTACATAGGCATCAGAAGAAGTATCAAAATACCGTTACACGTGGAAGTTAAACAAATCAGACCTCTCCACAGTGTTCAGACTGATTGATTGCGGCATCCATTTTTGCGTATCTGATTGTAGTGAACGAATCTCATTTATAGCGTAAAATCATTAGGAACAGTCTACAAAAATTGTTTTGCGCATGCTCCGTTTCAAAATACGACTTAACTTAAACGAAAAATTAACATCGAAGTAAAACAATCGGTACAAAGAAAAAACGGAAAATATCATTTACGTTACTTTGTGCTATGTGGATGTTTCATTCCGTTTTAATCTTTTAAATGGTATAAATCGATTACTGTCTTGTTTTCTGAATTTAATGTTCCGATAAATACTAACAGTGAATTTTACAGGTACAATATCACCATGCACTATCATATGACCGAGTGAACCGTGTACCGAAATTATGCTGCTCTTTAAACTTTTGCACCGGCATGACTAAATAACGCAGCGGATATTTTTTGGCGCAAATGGCACAAATTTTACTCAAGATTTTCCTCAAATAGTGAGGTTGGAGGCATGCAGCTTTATATACTGTTTATTCTAACCAAATGATATAAACATTTTTTATGTAAATCTGGGACTTAATATTGTTTGATAACAAACTTTATGCCCGTTTTGGAAAATGTAGAGGAAATGTTTCCATATACTAAAAAATTAACCGAAAATTTGCTTATTGAATTTTATTAGTTCTAAACTTTTATTGTGATACTGCTTTTAATATATATATATATATTATATATTCAAAATTTAGTTTGATAACATGACATAAATTGTTCCCTTTTAGAAAAAGTATCCGTATTGTGTCAAGCAAAAATTCATTTCTCCGGCATAACATCATTCAAAACATTTTAAAATCAAAGGGCTGCAGCTCTATGGTATTTTCTGATCTTTGCAATCTAAATCATACTGACTATCTGTATGTACTTTCCTGTATAAGTTTATTTTTATATACTATAACGCAGCGACAGCGTTTTGATTTTTTTCTATAACAGTTTGAGATTGATACATATGGAATTTTGCATAAAAAAAAAATAGAATTGCCTCGACTAGGATTTGAACCATAGACCTCTCACACCCTCAACGAGACCGCTTACCTCTGCACCACGGCGAAGTAATACATATGTACCTTGAATAAAAACGAATACATTATGTAATTCTAAATTGAGAATTTCCATTTCGTGTTTGCAATCCTTATTAATTTCGAGGTATTTTGTTCACGATAAACCTGTTGTTTAACACTGATGAAAATAATTTAGCGAAAATCTTCTCGCCAAAACAGTCCGACATGTATATATTCCACTACTCGACAGTCAGATTTATTTGTGTACTACGCTCTGGAGTATTCATTAATCGACATAGCTAAAAATAGCATTTTCATTGATTAAAATGATATTCATGATAATCCAAAGCTTTACGGAAATAGCCGAACATTTTTCATTGGGTAAAAAAGATATTCATTCGCGAAATTTGTGATTGTAACCTCATATTTCTATTGACTAATCTAAACTTTTAATGCACTGTAATTTGTTAAATGCCTACATTAAAAATTATTCTTTCATTTAAATTGCTGGTTTTTAAGCAGTTTTGAGTGAGAACTACTTTGCGTTGTTAGGACTGTAAGGAAATTTTGTGTTAGACCGTGGATGTTAGCTATGTATTTACTGATCTGGCGATCAGAAAATACAAAAATGAAGTGTAAAACAAACTTTCATAATGATACTATATTTAATATATATAATAAATTCTATTTTGTCTTTCATGCAAAAATATCCCCAAATATTTTCGAATTAAACAAATATCTTTCACAGCAGCAAAAATACCTCTCGCATGCTAAATTGTTTTTGATAGAGTCAATTTTTGATTGGCAAGAATGTTTTGCCTGTTTACCTGTCGGCTACATGGACAACGCCATGTTTGTTCTCGAAATCGTGAATATTACCTACTCGGTATTGATTTTCCCAGGGTTAAAATTAGAAAAAAAATATGAAAGCTCGCCGATGTTTGGCTGTGTGAATAGTCACCTGAAATAATTTAGTATATGGTCACGCTCAGGTCTAAAAGAGGGGTGTGATTAAGAGCTGATTTTGATCTTCGTCAAGGTTTGATTTTCTATCGGTTTGAAAACGTTACTATTCTTTCAAAATAGGAGGAGCTATAAATCAATATCATAAACATTAACCCTTAGATGCAGAAGCGTTCAACAAGTACCTGTGTAGAGTTCACAATTTTGGCAGATAAACATTACCTTATACCGATATGGAATATCATGTATTGTAAATCATTTAAGTTGATTCAAAATAAATTAATCATTATTGATGCTACGTATGTACTAATATTTCAAGAGTTAATTTGACTTTATTTGAAAAATCTCCAAATAAAGCTATTTGTTCGACAAGACAATGAAAGATGGTAGACAGTGTCGCAAGAAGTCATGAAGCTAGAAGAAATAAGAAATTGGTAGTAACGCCTTTCTTTATATCATTTCTTTTTAGTTCGAAACATTGCTTTGGACAAAAAAGTATTTATTGTCGACACATTTATATCTAAGGAAGGTTTCCTGATGACAGATGGATTAATACATGATCCTGAAATATGGATGAGTGCTTGTGACAGGTTCATGGACGGCGGTTGGTTCCTCGTTGACTTGGTTGAAAGTTACATGATACATTATATTGAAATTCAAGGTCATATTAGGTATATCTTAGTATTCATTTTACCAGAGTCATACTAACAAAGTAACAATAGGTCTTTGGCTCTACTTTTAACATCGTTTAATTTACGAATACGATTATACTAGCGATAATTATTGGAACACCTCCTTTTACATAATGTACCATAACAAATGCAGTACGTTAATAAAAAGCAATCCTTTGAAAATTACAAATAACAAAGGGTTACGTGACCAAGAGCTCGTTAATAATCAAACAAATGACGTCGCAAAACGTATGATGGTCATCGTTGCGGACTAAAGCTCTTATACGGATCTGAAAATATGCTTGTTCGGTTGTGATATAATTGACGGGAAGATCGTAAAATCAAAAGAGGCCATATTCAAATAGATCTTAATGGAATACGTACGTCATCGTTTGATCTCAAAGAAACATGAACATTTTCAGTAAATTGAAAATATGTACCGATCATAAAGTATTCACTCCTACTGAACACAGACTTACATTTATTTAACAAGGTGAATGGTTTAAGTAATTACTGTTGCAATTCTAAACACTGAGATCCAAAGGTCGAAATAAATATTATAACTACATACAATGTATAACAACTGGGGCACACTTAAAACTGAAAATATGCAAAACAACAATAACAAAAAAAATCATAAAGAAATGATTAAATTTAAATTTTCATTTGTTGGTCATGATGTTCAATGACAATGACTATTCTGTAAAATGGAGCGGGCTAATAATCTGCGTATTCACACACGAATTATGATGGTCCAGACCTGCTTCAAATCGTATACCAAGTATTTCCAGGCCTGTAATGTAAACATATTTAACATACATCTTCGTACAGTTTCTTACAACGGGTAAATTATTATTGATCAATTTTCAACATTGTGAATTGATAAATAATTCATTGGACAGGGAAACATAAAATAGTGGCGCGCTTAAAAATAACAGAAGCAAGCAAATATTTTACCATAAATAGTTCACTTATTTTTACTGTATTCTATTGTAACATATTAAGTTCTTGAATAGGTGAACTTTCAGTCAAATGACACTAATAATTATAACAGGGTGGGTCGATAAAGATTTTATGTCTGCCGGAGAAATCTGTGTTCATGTGAAAATATTTCGTCATTTATCTATAATCTCTTCTCGTCTCTGGAGCTTTCTTTCTGTCAGAAGCCACATATTCTCATTTGTATCGATCTTCTGATATTTCATGTATTTAAAAAAAGGCACAGACGAACACCAACAAACAAACAAACGTTTAATCTCTTTTTAACAATTTTCGAGCAATTTTACCAGTCCAGAATATTTTTTTTCCATTTCCGCCACTTGTTTTACTTTTGCTTTTTATTTTTTCCTAAAATGAAGCAAACTAATCAAATTTTATCATGTAAGAGACGGCACGTATTTATTATAATGCAGAAACCAGTTTCTATTCATAACGCGATTATCTTGCTACGAACTTGACACATTTGTTTACATTGGTATGATGCTCAATCATTTTGGTTCGAATACATTTGAATACATTTTGCAATCATACTCTATGCCATGCCTTAAAAATAATATTGAAAATCTTGTCAAAAAAACCGCTTGACAAGTTTCTATTTTGGCTCTTGATACATTTGAAAGATAAGAATTCAAATTTGGAGGGTTCTAGAATAAACATAAGACCAAGTTCAAGTCGATTATTTTAAACTGTGTTTAATTGAATTTAGTTTCAATTGTTAAATTTCATAACAAAATGTTCATTGATACAGCTTACTCAAAAAATAATGATGAAAAGTTGTTTTTTTTACAAAAGTCAAGCACCAAAACAGCCGGCTAAAAACTGTTCGATAGAGGTCTTAACTGGAGTCAATGTATATGACATGCAACAGTCAGGCTATTACTGCGGTAGATTAAGTCCAAGAAAAACATTAGAACTTGATGGAGTTTTAGCTAGATATGTCCAAATTCAGACGCATTGTTCAAATACAATTTGTGAGCTGCAAGTTTTTGGGGACAAAGGTATACGGTTTTCTTTATAATTTAAGGAAAATAATTAAATAGCACATACAAAGTGTGCTCAAATATGAATGCAACTGGATAAATTTTGACCAAACAGTGCCAAAATAATTTTCTCAATCCTTCACAATATTCACTACCATGTGATGTACAGAGTTTTAGTCTTTTAATCCAATTTTCAAATGCGTTTTCATAATATTTTCAAGGTATACTATTCAGACACTGGAAAAAAGCCGAACCGAGATGTTTTTCGCGTTTGATATTTTCTTCCAGCAAGGTGGTTTTGAGCCTCGGATCACAAGGGGCAAGATTTGGCGAATAAGGATGGTGAGGAAGCTCGACAACCTTTTTCTGTTTCAGATATTATCGTACAACGTTTTTTGTGAGACGAAGTAATGTCATACAACAACCTGACACTATGGATACCAGTTGCTGGTCGCCGGTTTTTGAAATATTTCTTTAATGTATGAAGGACATTGCCTTAATGAAACTTGGCATTTACCCTTTGGTACGGTAATTTAAATAGTAGAAACTTGATTGGTAAAGAAAATTACATACATGACCTTTCTGATGCTCATGGTCAGTTTTGCTATGCAAGGTCTTTGACTTCCATTGGTTGCCTATATTTTGTTTTGTATCTTTTCCTTGGGCTCATAAAAGAGAACTCAAGTCTCATCGCCAGTTATGCTATTTGCGAAAGATCGATTGTTGTAGGGCGTCCGTTGCCGAGTGGTTAAGGTCGTCGACTTCAAACTATTTGCCCCTCACCGCTGTGGGTTCGAATCCCGACAGGGACTTTTGAATCTTTCATGTGAGGAAGCTATCCAACTTGCCTACGGAAAGTCGGTTGTTCTTCTCAGTTGCCCGTTCGTGCCTGAAATAATGCACGAAAGGGCACCTAAGATCTTTCTCAACCAGTAAAGCTAGAACGTCGCCATATGACATATACTGTGTCGGTGTGACGTAAAATCAAATCAATCAATCGATTGTTGTATTTAGGGGACTGTTTTAACAATTGTTTATAGATTCTACCAGAGAAAGTCTTTGCTCTTTTGTAAAGAGATGGGGTTTCCATCTGGCTCTTATCCTCCTCATTTTAAAGCCACGTCTGAGAATTGTATGAGCGGCTTCTACAGAGATACCAGCGCATTTAGCTATATACCTAATTGTAAATCTTGCATCTGTAGCAATCAAATGCTTTACTTTTTCAACCATTTGTGGCGAGGACGGCGTGCATGAGGTGCATCTTTTACTGAATCCACACTACTTTTTAATTTCTTACACCACCGTGTGATACATAAAAAAGAAAGTGCATTGTTCCCATAAACACGACATATTTCATTAAATATGTATTTCGCCCATATACCAAGAATACAGCGGTTCTTGATATAGGACCGTATTTGGTCAGTGAAAGGAGACCTTCTTTCAAACCATTTTAGCTTTAGTATACAAGTTAATCGAGCCATTGTCTAAGCTTGACTGAACTGATTTACAGATGTGTTGTACCAAATGAGAGCTTACACAGCCATCTATGCGATACATGTACGGAGTTCGTACAATGCATGGTTAAAAACGAGATATTGGCCTAGTAGCATTCATATTTGAACACCCCTCGTACTAATAAGGTTTCTCGAAATCTTTCTTCCAATAATGTCAATGACGATGATATTTTCTTTAATCTTTTATTTTAAATTATGCATTTCAAAATTAGAATATGAGCTTAATGTTATGAAATATTGTTTTTAAAGTTTACATTATTTTCGTAAGACATGAGACATCACTAAGGCGGTTTCTTCTTTGTTACACTGTGCTAATTTCTTCAGGTTATAGTCTTGATGAAACATACAGGGACGAACTTCTTTTTTTGAATAAAGGTAAAATCGCTTGTACATATACAATTTCTTTATCAAATATGTTTTAAATGGTAATAGAATAATATTCAACTATCTATAATAATTCGCTACAATAATTACAATGTTAAGAAGTAAATATTTTGTAGAACGGTAACAAATCCAGTTAACACCTGTTTTATAATTCCTTAACGGACGATATACAAAGATTTTAGGAATTGAAATTTCAGTAAGGTATAACGACCGCTAAACGTAATAAACGATTCATTTTGTTTAGTCAACACAAACATTAACATAACTTTATTTGCATTTAAAAATTCCAAATCAAAATAATTTGAAAATTATATACATCGGTGAGCAGTGTTATACCTCCTATTACATCCATCTTTGGTGTGAAAAAGTGTAATTTTAACTAAAAAAATCTTTAACAAAGTTAAACACAAACCAATTTCCAAATGTAGTTTGTGCCAAGATTTTGCAAGTTGCCAGACTGTATGTTGTTTAAATTTAAATCGGAGTGGTTGAATTCTGTTGACTGAAGCGGCCATTTTAATCACCTCATTCCATGCCCCTGTAACAAGTAAATGACTATTGATTTAGATAGTTGTAATCCAACACATTCGTTGAGTGAATAGTAATAGACATTAAACCATGTCAATCAGTCGCTAGATTCCTTCTTCAGTAAAATTGTTTATCGTAAGACAATACATCAACACACCATTATTTTACCACTATGGAACTTGATTTTGAGAACTTGTTGGACAGTCTTCATGCTTCCTTGTATACAATTTATACACTAACATAATGCAAGCATAAACATGCAGTATATTTGCAAGGGCCACTTCACCTGTCAGATCTAAATGGGACATTATTTATTTCTGAACTTAACATTTTCCTTATCTACTTTGCATATCATCCTCAATGTATCTTTCAAGATGTGAATTAAAAATGTATAGAAAATCGAAAAACTAGGCATAATTTTATTCTACTTTGCGAAATGTATTTTTCAAGCGGTGTTAATGAATTTACGGATTACACATGTATTGTAATGAAAAATCTTAATGTTCTCATATTATATTTCGAAGTTCATGGGGAATGGAGTGAGTGGTCACCATGGACAGATATCTGCTACTGTGGAGGTAAACAATGGCGTCGAAGACACTGCAACAACCCAAAGCCAATGTTTGATGGAAATGATTGTCCTGGAAAAGCTCTGACAAGCAGGCCATGCTCGCATGTACTGACCAACTGTCAATGTAAGACCTTATCATTTAATTGTCCTATAATTCTACACATCGGTCAAATGTTTCCATACTGTAACGTAGGGAGCGTAGGCTCTACGGCGTCGAAAGATAAACATTAAACCATAGCCTTACGATTGACAGTGTGATAAAAAGGCGATGCCAATTACTTTATTTCTCAAAGAATATAAATGATATGTTTTATACAAGAACAGCTACATAGTTTGCCTTTTACTGTTAACTTTCTTATGTATTCAGAATTAACATTAAAGGTTCTACTTTAATTTTTTTCACAGCATATGTTGAACCTCAAGAACAAACTTTGGAAAACATTTGTTACAATGCCTTATCAGGTTTGTCACTTTTTGATTTCCTTTAACAATTTGAGAATAGTGTGTGTCTGTTTTCATTCTAAAAGGAACTCCATTGAGGTTGAATGACATGACCAGAATGGAAATATCATTATCAAGATGTTTATACAATGTGATGAAGGTCTTCTACAAAACCTTAAGTGTAAAATTTAAGATCATTCGCTCACTACTTTTTTCCAGAATTATCAATATGACCTTAAAATGAAAAGCCCTCAAATGCCTCAAACTCAAAACAGACCCAGAATAGCACTTAATTTCTATTTTATCTGTGTACGATGTCCTACTGTCTTTTCAAATATGTAAGTTTTGTAAGTTTTACAAAGTTAATGTTTTAACGTTTTGGACTTCAGTGGAATTCCTTTAACATGAATTTGCTTGTAGCATTATAAAACATTATATTGCATGACACACAAACGTAATTTTAGCATTTTAATTCAGCAGATCCCTGTGAATTCCTTACTCGTACAATTGACTTCAAGTTAGATAAATAAAACATAATTTACGTTTAAAAAGTAGAATTGAGGATATTTATTTCATTTATTCACTGCTTGACATGCAATTAACGGAAATAGAATTTCAAAGATGACTTCAATTTTTTTTTTGTAGTTTTTTTTCTTCATTACACTTTTGTAAGTTTAAGTACATATTTCTACCAAAAACAATTATTTTAACAGCTGTCGATGGATTAAGTAATTGGAGCCCATGGGGCCATTGTTCATCTGATTGTGGATATGGTCTTATGTGGAGAAAAAGAACTTGCAGTGTAAAACAAGGTTCAGATAGTTCACTACACTGTAAAGAGGATGTCCACGAAAGTCAGAAATGTCTTGGAAATGGAAGTTGTCTAGGCAAGTGTTTGTGCATATTGGTAAAATTTACTGAATGAGTTTATATGGACAATAATATATCTAACTGAATTTACAGTAACATTTGTTCACACTTTATAAAATATAAACAAAAGCCACTTTTCGGCCCTTTCCGTCAGTCTTCGGATCAGGATATTATTATGAATAATCGCCGAGGACGTTATGATTGTAAATTTTCAGCGTTTGCACCACGTGATGTCAAAACAATCAGTATCTAACCCATATTATACTGTCTGGTCTCGTTTTCACTCTCCGAGTTTTCAATTACATATAAAATCTAATAGTATATTGCACTTGATGTATCAAATCAGTGACAAACTGATTAGAATTGTTGGTGTGAAATGAAAAAGTCGTTATACATCGTTGAATTTAATACTGATTCTACACAGCTCGCGCCTTGTTCATTATAGATAAGACCAATAGGTTATGATCACTAAATGATTTTGTTAATATTTTTATATATATTACTTGATTATGTCAAAGTTGAGAAAGATTAGTCATATCACATATCAACTGCAAGAAAGTCAAAGTTATTAGTTTGTAGAACTGAGTGCATTTAGTCTAAAACGGTTATAAAATATTCCTGTTTATTTTCGAAAAGTATTATTTCGTTTATCCAGCTTTATCTAAAACTATAAGTAATTAAATAGAAATTGAATACGAGGGTGCAGTTATATTGCAGCTCAGTTAAGTTCTAGTGCTATAGATTTTTGCAAAATTGTATTTATTTAATTTTATGTGATTATGGTCCCATTTCCTATATACTCAAGCGTGAATAAACACATGTCACATTTTCCAGATCTTGAAAATACAATGTATATACTAGCTTGAAATCTTAATTGATCACGTAAAAAATGTTTTATTTTCATAAATAAGTATGTTCGGAGTTGTTCAAAAAGTGTTATGATATTATCTATCGTCGTACGAACTGGAACCAGGCACGACTTGAATGCTTGAGAAGAAGTATGACCCTTGTGTCAATATTGTCTTTGACTGAAATGCGATTTATTAAAGAGGTTCTACGCGACAAGAGGTTTCTCGACGTCCCTCAAACCTACTATGATGTTAATTTTTACGTGCACATAGGTATGCTAAATTATTTTTCTTGCCTCTGTGTTGTTCCTAAGACTAGTAAGCAGGGGTTTCTTTCGTTCTGTAAATGAATATAATATAAACGCGCCTGGAAGAATACTGCAATTCTGCTTTCTACAAAACTAAATTTCATTTTTTTATCTTAAAATCAAAATGTATACATGTACTTATTTCTAGTAAATCGAAACAATTTCCACATAAGATACGATAAATATAGAAATTGCCAAAATCAGTTGCAGAAGCAGTTGTAGTAGGGTTCCAAATTCAATAACTCCAAGCAACGTTTGTCTTCAATCAAATATTAATTTATTTATTAATGTTTTCTATGAAATAACAAAAGGTATTCCGACTTTTCAGGATTATTACAGACACAAGATTACGACAAATATATTTGGGAAAATGGATATTATGCAACATATTTTACTGCATGGTAGGTAACATTCGTATTGGAAGATATTGAATGATAACCACTGAGTTAATAAGCAATAAACTTGTAAAGTTACCTATACTGCAATGATATTGCTTGGTGAGCTAAGACTTTCCGTAAATGACATTGAATATTGTTTTTGGTCGGATGTTAGCATAATTAATGAAGGGTCACCTACAGATTTTTTAATCTGTTAAAACACCAAAATTCTCGACTAATTTTTTACCTTGTCATTTATAAGCGTTAACTTATTTTTTTTTTTTTTTGATAAACTAGCAAAGAAAGTCATCACATTGTTCCTGCAACGGCGGAATATTCTTGAACAACATGAGTTATAGGGAGATTTGGTGTTTGATAATAACTAGTTAAATTAATTTTGCAACTTAAACATGAGCAATTTTAGATAAAGTTATATTTATGACAAACATATTCAAAATCTGGTTCTTTGTACTAAACATGTGAGATCAATCGTTAATCACATGACAGTATGTTTTCATGACAACACATTTGAATACTCAAACTTCTGGTTAAAAACAGCCTTTCATAATTAATGGAAAAAAATCATAGAATCCAAGCAATGAATGTCCGTTTGTGATTATTACTTGAGTAAAATTTATTTCATTTCTTGTTGTACATGTTTCATGGTGACTTTCACAGGAACCAGAATCGTAACTCCTCAGGAAACTGCACTCGGATGAACTTTCAAATGTTTGATGATGACCAAACGTGGGAACGTGAAGACTGTGTTCACGAACTAGCGGAATATATAATGTGTGACATGAATCAGTTGGAAACAAAAAATACAAGTAAGTCAAGAAGAAAATAACTTCAGTAGTGTGTTTATATTTGTTTATTGTTTATTTAAATACGCCTCAAATAGAAAAAATCAAAAAACGGAGCAAACAGATGTATTTGAAAAAAACAGTTAAGATTAATTTCTATAATCCTAAATTCTATAAATACTCGTATAACTTTAACTAGATAGGGTAAAATCGCTGAGTTTAAAGTAGTTGTTATCTTATGTTTCAGTTTAATAAATTATCAAAATCAAATCGTATGTGAAAGACGATATCTTAGTAAGATAAAAGCAATATCACTATAAATCATCATTTGATTACATTTCATAAACAAATTGTTTTTCACAATTTGATTAAAATAACAACTTCTATTTCAGAACGGTCTGTTTCTATGTGGTTGGATCAGGGGACTGATGAGGTTAAGGAGCAGATAGCAGGCCATGAGTATGATGGAGATATTAGAGTAACTAAGACTGGTAAAACGTGCCAAGAACCGTGCTGGGTTAATATGGATAACGGATATTTGTATTGTGAAACTGCCGCGGGAATATTCGAAGAATGCAGTATCAAGTGTAAGTTCCAAATAATAATGTACTTCTTCAGCAGGGTCAATTGGGGTCTCTAAAACAGACCGACACAACGATGCCAAAGATTTTTTTTTTTATTTCTCTCGGGGCACATCAAAATGTTATATTCATTTTTTAAGTATGAATAAGATTAGCTGTGACTTGAAAATAGATAAAGTATATTGCTTTGTTTATCAAGATGAATATCATCTTAATAGATTTAATAAAATATGTAGTAAATAAGTCATTCAGAAAAAAAATTAAATGTATTGATTGTCTTGAAATATAACAAAATTAAGCAAAAATGAATCATTAATTATGTATCACTATTATAGTACCGGAAGTCCAAAACTCAAGCACTGTCTTCCATAAGTTCTTAAAGCCTCTTAGTACTACTTATAGCGGCAAAACCTGTCAAAGATGGGCTGATATTATTCCGCAATCACACAGCTTGCATGGAAATATCTTTAAGGTATTTGTTTTTCTTTCATTTCATTAGTAAATATAATATTTTTATTTAAAAAATGGAGACAAACTAGTAACTGTTGATTGTCAAAATGAAACCATATACAGATGCTCAAACTAACGTTTTATTTATCATGAAGTTTTAGAAAATTGTTAATGAGTGAACCGTTGGGTGTTCTTTTTCAGGGGGAAAGCATAAATGAAGCATCTAACTTCTGTAGAGATCCTGGAGAGACTGGGTTCATCTGGTGTTTCACAACAGATCCTGATAAACGATGGGAACCGTGCATAGTTAACGGTTTGATGAACAATTATTAGTCTGTTTTGCTTTTTAAGAAATAAAATGATAAATGGTAAAACAATTGTGTTCCAAAGATTTAATGATTTAAATTTTCAGTTTCCTTCATAGTTCTTTATTTGCAATTACATATCGTTTTATAATATGTTTTTGTTGCTTTTTTTTTAAGAAATAAAATCCAAACGTAGCTGCATCACTGTCCAAAAATATTCTGGGAATGAAAATAAAACAGTTACAGGGAAGTCTTGTGTGAGATGGGATGATAAGGTTTTACCATTGCAAGCTGATTTTCGGGAAAGGGATGCACGAGTTGCAAATAATTATTGTCGAGACCCATTTAGTTTTGGATATAACTGGTGTTTCATAAACCAGTACGGCCAGGACTGGGAGCCATGTCAGACTGAAGGTAACTAACTTGTTTATGTCGATGCTTTAGACATTAATGTAGTTAAAAACATTTTACACAATTATAGATGCAGTATGGAAATTTTCTTTAACAAAGATTAGGCTTTTTTATTGAGAAACATGAGGAAGTAGTCCGCCCACTTTCATCTCCATGTAATAAACCATCATGTTTTATCGGTAAAAATAAAAAAAAATGTCGTATGTAGTTCTTTCACCGACGTAAGTTTGATGCACATATTATAACAGTCTATGAAAAAGCAAAAATAAATGATAGAATGTTTGTGAAATTAAAATTGCAAGATAATTGTTGTGAAGCTCTTGAAACCTCAATTCTTCTGGAAATAAACTCACTCAAGAAAGTTAATAACCGAAACAGCGAATTAATTCTCTATTTTATCGAGTATATTATTTACTGACTCAGGTACTTGAAAAGGCAAAGTGTACGTAAAGATGTTAAAAACTCGATTTCACGCGAACATGTCTTTTTAATAAAAAGTATAGATATCAGGCTCTTAACCTAAGAGAAGATGGTAAAATTTTATATGTAGCACAAAAGAAACATAAAACAAATACTTAATATATAGTTTTCACCTTTCTTCATGCTAACCTGGCAATTTCAAGCTATTGAAATGTAAAACTATAATTTACATGTAAATTATCATATTCAAATGTGTATGCAGATCCACAAGAACCGAGGAACTATGAAGTGCGTCATGAAACCGTTGCACACAGTATGTTTACATGCGATGGAGAGGTACAAATTACGAAATTTGCTAGATGTGATGGGAAGTTTGATTGCATTAACAAACGTGACGAAGTTGGGTGTCCGTATACAGGTAATTAGCTATTCAATTTATGTACAAATCTGCAGTACACATGCAAGTAAACTAAATGAATAATTTCATATAAAGTAAATCTACAATGCTCTTTATAGGACATGTGTTTGACACCATTCGTTCATTATATAGTAAAGTATTGTACCAAATACCATTTTTATAAATTTATATCTACAGTTTATATCGTTTAACAAATTAAAATTTCGTCTATTTCAAAAGGCTTCGTTGTCATCCTTGCCGGGCAAATATGTAAATGTAGCCATTTATTAAACCATTTTTATGAACATGAAACTTGAAATACTTGTTTTTTGTATAGGTTTAATACTTAATTGTCTTACAAGGTGCAGTTGTTACACAAAAAAGAAATGATTTTGAAGTAATACACCTTTCAAAATGTTCAACAAACGAGCGTTATCACTACGTGTGGTCCTTTTGTTATTTCATTAAAACTGTGCTTACAATTTTCATTACTTAGTCCATTCGATGGCAAAGGCAAGAAATGTCAACAGTAATTTTACAAACGTTCCTCTTCCATATTCTTTTCGGGATTCTATCTTAAGATGTAACTCTCAAGAATTTATATCTGTCATCGCAAGATGTGATGGGGTAATCGACTGCCTTGATGCATCTGATGAGATGAATTGTCAGGACGATAGTGTAGGTAAGTTTTATATGGAAATTTGACTTCTCTGCTATATGAACTTGTAAAGTGTATATGTGTAACTGATTTTAATAAAATCGAAATTTATTAATTAAATGAAATAATGTCTTAACCTTCATATTTATACTGCGTTATTTTAAACTAATTTTGAAAACACAAAGGGATTATTTTGTATTTGACTATTGATATGTTCACAGAATGCAGCTATGGCTTGTTGATTTTGTTTTGTCATATCCTTCCTTTTTCAAGCCTTATTTATGTTATTTAATATTTAAGTGTCTAAAGGAAACCGTATGTGCTCCAACGACCAGTTCCGATGTAACGACGGAGACTGTATCCATATCAGTCTTGTTTGTAATTATGTTGTTGACTGTAATGATGGTTCGGATGAGTACTGTGGTATGTTTCTTCACTTTTCAATTGTTTATCTTGCAACGCTACGTCAGCATGCTTTGTATTCATAAAATGAACAAACCAGCAACAAGGTTGTTTGTCTTGTATGAATAAAACGACATTAAGATTTCATATCAATTATTTAAAAAAAAAATATGTTGCATCATGTCTCGATTGAATCAAGCAAAACCCTGAATTCATGACTTACATTTATATATTAATTTTATGATTAAATTATTACATGTTTGAATAGAATAAAACAACAAATATTTTGTCTTGATTGAAAAGAACAACAGCAAAATGAATGCCTTGTATGCTTTAAACAGCAAGCAGATTTCATGTTTTGTCAAACTCTTAAATGTAGACAAATATTTTGATGAACCGTCATCCTGTACTCAAAACTGACTGGGAATTATGCATACACATATATCAATGTTTCAAATACGAAAGGAAATTTCTGTGTGTACTTTATTAAATAATCAATGATATATTTATTACAGTTGTGAATTCAGGACTGCGATTGCGCAACCAACTTAGTCTCGAAACAATATATTTGAATCTTTAAATATTTGGAATAAAAATCAACAAAAAAGAAATAAAAATCAGAAGTATTGTGGTGATTATCTTATTGCAGATTTCCAGCCGTGCTCAATTTTGACTGAGTACCAGTGTAACAATGGACCATGTATCTCATTGAACAAACGGTGCGATTCTATAAAACACTGCGCAGATGGCTCGGATGAGATTGCGTGTTGTATGAATCAGATTTTGCATCATTATATTCCTCGATGTTTCTGCATTAAGAATCCTTGTTAGCTTAGTGATTTCCAAAATAACTGAATATTTGTTTCATGCCGAATGTCTCATCAAAAAAATACTGTATGTTTGATCTGATCCAGATACAGTGAAACCTCGGCAAAATTTGATCAGTCATTAACAATATACACGTATCCGTTAAGTTTATTCATTCCAAAAAAGAACGGTCAAATCCGTTCAAACTCATCCTGTTTCATAAACAAAATTAAGTGCAAACAGATGTTTGAACTCACTATTGGCTCAGAAAATTTCACATGGTCTTTAAATTATCTTTGTATTCGTCACAATTTTTAAATAAAGATATCGTCTATACATTAATTTCATTTCAGATAAATGCAATGAAGAGCTTGCATTCCTTTGTGATATTGGGCGATGCATTCCAAAACGTCTCCGATGTGATGAGCATGCCCACTGTGAAGACGGAGCCGATGAACAATATTGTACTAGAGAAGGGTTCTCCTCCTGTCAGGATATTTGGGAGGCTGGGTTTAGGAAATCTTCACTTTATACAATGGGTTTGTTCTTACGATAGTGAAGTGATTAGATGGTTTCTATTAGATAATTACATTGAAATGTTATTTCAGTAATAAGTATAAAATAAACATTTGTTACTTTTATTTGTGTTTGTATAGAGGAGGGATGTTAAGTTATTACAATAGCGACTCTTTAGGATGACCTCATGTGTCCTATTATTGGGATTATTGGCATGATCATGTTCAAGATTAGAAGCGTTGTTATTTTGCCGGATAGCTTCCCACCTCACATGAAAGTATAATAAAATGAAGAGTTGTACAAGTAGCAATGAACAGCAAGTTGTTTGAAACAAGTGATATTGTCCTTGATTTAAACGCCCTTTTCCTTGATATAAGCGACATTGTAATTTCACCAATTGTCACCGATGGATACAACTTTCTTATCTTTTTACAAAGTATCATTGTATTTCTAATTTCTTCTTCATTCGTTATCAAAAAATGTAAAAAATGTGTATCTATAACGAATGTATTCCTTACTTAATGTTTTTGTTTTCTAGCCGGTGTTATAGTGCAATGTGAATTTGATGACATTTATGACAATCATCAGATAGAAACCGTGCTGAATATGGACCTGAACTATCATGAGAATTATCTGTTCGGGAGTACATTTGTTAGCTCAATGCTTTACAATGACCTATCAAGTAAATTAGAAAGCACGATAAATCTGATGCTTTTTGCTGACGAAAATACTACATGCATTCAAAAGGTAATCAGAGTAACATTGTTTCTGAAAACAAATCAAATGAAAAAAAAAATATGTCGTTTTTCTTATTCTAAGAAACTTGTCGTAAATTTATATTTAGATATTTTTGCTATAACATTGTTATAAACTAAATATTTTTTTACAAAAATTAAATTATCTTTTGTCATTTGATTAAAATCAATGTTGCTAAAAAAGCTTAACGGGGAGAATACAAAATAGCTTTTCCATCATTGCTAGGCAGATTAATTTCAGCGGTGTAGAAAGCATGTGTACTATATGGTTTATTGTAAATAGAGGACTTTTTGAAGCATTTATGGTGAAATAACTTTTCATTATTTCAAAAGTCGGAAAAAGAATTACAAGTATGGACATGCGTCTAGTAAATATCACTTAAAGTGAAGAATGTAATGTCTTTTTTTAGTTTGAGCTGGTACGAAAAGTTAAGTTATAAAATGTTAGTCCCAAAAACTACTATAAGTTGTTAACCATAAATTTACACTGACATAAACGTTTGAACTGTAATACCCTTAAGCTTCTTCCCTAAATCTTCCTTAAGGCTCATTATGCCATAGAAATGCTTTTAAATTTTTGGTATCCTGTAAAATTTGAAAAACGTAACTCATTAGTCAATTACGTGAACCGTCTTTTGCTGCTGTTGCTTTTCGGCAATTAGTACACTTTCAGTTATTTATTATTTTGTATTGGCGTCAAAATATTTCTTTGATTATATTTTTCTAGTTTTGAATAATTTCAAAATTAGCGCCATGTGTATCAGGTAATGGGTATCAACATGTTCTAAAGCCATTAAATGACCGTTAAAAACTCCATGGTTTACCCTTTCTTAAAAGGTAAACAATTAATTCGTTTATCATGCATTATGTGCATTAAAAGAAGTAAAATACAGTTTATTCAATTGCAAATAATGAAAATGATTTTTGCTAGTATGTTGTATGCTATACCATGCACAATAAGCTCAGTAATATGACATGTTTGAATGTTTTGATAGATGAAAGAGGTCTGTGTTCCAGCCTTCGAAGCAAGAGCAGAGCTTAATGACACCTCCAGTGAATGTGTTTGTGGTATTTTTAACTACAAGATAGGCGAAAGGTAAGTCACGAACAAAATGTCTCAGATACCATTCAGACACTGCGTGTCTATGTATTTTCCGAACAGATCGATGCATGTCCATGCCTACAGGCAATTATAATCCTGGTCCATAAAGTAATTACTTATCTACATGAATCCCGTTCACTGCTGAACTAAAAAATACACTTTCCATGTTGCCATTTGCAAGATATAGAAGGTCTACCATACATTAAATTAAGTTGAAACTTCAAAGAAAGATTTATATATTTTAATAACAATTAAATTTTTTCCCATTTCTTTTCCGTATTATACCTTTCAAACGATGAACCGCATTCAAGAAAAAAACTTCATGTTTTATGAATTCGTCGAGTATTTTGAGCAAAATCTTTTTCATTTTTAGAGAAGACTACTATGACAGCATTGATGCCTGTGAAAACCGAAAACCGAGTTCTCTTCTTACATCTGGAGGTGTAATTTTTCTAGGAGCCGTAGGTTATCGAACGATTAACCACTTTGAAAGAGAAAATCAAATAATCGCAGGACCTTATATATGTCAACAAGGTTGTTTAAATTTCCATTTTTATATAAACATATACAAGGTTGGATAAAACAATGCATGGACTTTTGTTGTATTAATTTTGTTTGTATAAACAATAAAATCATATACAGTGGTTCTATATCGGCATTTATGTATATGTACATTTGAATATTATAGGTCAAGTCGGTCTCCCACAGCAACCATCTTAAATTGATTATTGCAATGGTACCGGCATACGATAACGAAGTCATGATGACCTTTCGACGCTGACTACTTACGTTCCCAGTCAGTGTTTTTCAAAGCTCTCACACCCAGCGCGCATGTACCTTTGTCATCTTCAACTGGTTTCTCAAACTTTAATGGATGCTGCCACTTTTTTTAAAAAAGAGATAAGCTTATATTTGAAGATTGATTAGCATCCTTCATCATTTTCAACAACTATGGTGGTGTTTTTATAAGGTCTAAACAAAACTTTATTATCGCACAGTTCTCTTCCTGTGCCAGTGCAGCCATTTATATCTTATAACATCCATATATATCTTAAACTTACAAGCTGTTTATTCTAAAGTTTAAATTTACAACGACGTCACATATGACATCAGCAAATAAGCAGACGACGTTTGGTATAATTTGGAACAAATTTAGGGCGCTACAGAGATATAAGCACTTCGCATTGTTGCCAATAAATGGGCTGCGCTGGGGGTACCTGCCCAGGGCTATTTAAACTTGATTTTTTAAACAAAAATAAAATACAGCAATGTAAATCGTATGAATCGTTTAACATTTAATTGTTTATTATGTGTACACAATTTTATCGACTTCCCTCGAGTAGTTTTTAGAGTTAAAAAAAAGTCCACGTATTTTTATCCAGCCTCGTATATTGGTTGTGCTTTACGTCGCACCAACACGGCGGAGGACATATAGCGACTTTCATGCTTTGGTAGAAACGCAAATAACGTAAATTTAAGTTTTGCATAAGTCCACGTTTAAAGAAAATGATACGCAAAACATATGGAATGTTACTGAAATGCTCGCCAGGTGCTCTTCTGTGTATTATTTCCGGCACGAGCGGACACCTAAGTAGACCCACCGATAATCAGTGAATACAGGTTGCCGGCGGTATTCGAACCTAAAGCGGCGAGAGGCAAGTGGTGTAAACAATATGAAACAAGATAAGATTTGTGCTACTCGATTTAAATTCATTTTATATCTCTTCGTATTCAATCTTTACATTTTATTATTACATTTCTTATTTTGGATCAAAATTGTATGCATTATATTCAATTCAAACTTTCTTAAGAATTTCTGTGAATTCGGTACAAACGAAACATATTTTCAGTTTGAGAGTGTAAATAATCAAGTGTGATTTTACTTTATGTTTGGAACATATCAGTTTAGAAATTGCTAAAGATTTGAAGGTTATGAAGTTACATGACAAGTGTATCTTAATTGGTCAAAAAGTATAGATTGTTGTTTTAATTGATAGTTCATCATTGAAGATCACCCATACACTCTATATTCAGGTTTTTATCCTAAGGACAATGATTTTGTATGTGACATCAATGGTAAACATATTCCCGCTTATTTACGATGTATCTATGATGTAGACAACACTGGATTCCTCATTGGCTGTAGAGACGGAAGTCATATCAAGAACTGTTGTAAGTTCATAGTTTCATCTTATTTATATTGCAAATCTACTGATTATTCTGGACTAGTAACAACAAAGTACAAAGTATTCTAACAAAGATGATTGGTTTTCAGTCTGACTTCTGTTCAGATCATAAAATCACATCATTAAAGGATATTAAAAACATATAAGGAATAGCCATTAAAGAAGCATATATGTTTGTACATTTATTAATCAGTTCGTCATAAATTTTGTGTTTCTGTCTTTGCCTTAGTCACATGTTTGGGAAATGTTGGGAAATCATCAACGAACTCACTGTTTTGACAATTTCAAAAGTGTGTCCGACGGTTTGATATCAGACTGTTACATTTCATAGGAAGTAATATTGAGATTGTATTGTAATGCAATTTTCTTTTTTTTTATTAATACAAATAATCTTTCTTTAAACATTTATTAACAACAACCAGACTCTGAAAGTATATCTAGGAATACCTATCTGTCGGTTTTATGTCAACAACAGTACGGATTCATAAAGGCCCTGGTTTTTCAAGATTTTGGATAAGTGATCGATATATATCATAATAGTTAAAGTTAGGGGAAGATTAGTTTGAGACACATTTTGCATCTCGATAAAGACAATTTGATAAAGTCTAAAAAATTTTATTTTAGATGCATTTGAATGTCCAGAAAACACAGTGAAATGTCCAGGCAGTTACTGTATCCCTTTGCGCTTTTTATGCGATGGTGAATTACAATGTCCCTCGGGGGAAGATGAGGAAAATTGTGGTAAAGTAGCTTTATGATTATCGTTATGTTATTACTATATATGTTGAGGGTTTGATAGTAAAAGTGATAGTCAAAGAATAAGTATACCTAGCTGGGAAGATAAATCTTTTAACACCAAAAAGTAAAATACAATGTAGATTGTTTCTTACTGTGACATTGTGTAAATATAAAATACAAATATTTGATAAAATGTGCATCAAGCAAACACCACGGCACTTCGGACCTGTAATTGACGTCATCATCATAACTGTATAAATGAAAAACACATAACAGTGCAAAGCGGAACATCTTAAGTGCAAGATCAAAGTTATTGCTCAATATGTTAATTTTAATAAATACGAGCATTCGGGAAAGTTACCCAAAATATGCATTCAGCATGATATTGCAATCAACTCAGTTACATAGTTATACGCTCAAATTACACAGTTGACTTTTGACCTTTTAAAGTTAATGTCAGGGTTGTGAACATTAAAATTATTGAAATAACGAACAAAGTACACGGAATATATATACATGTTTATCCTATCAAGAATTATAACTCTATGCATTACTCTCTCCAAAGTTCTGTCTAATACTTGTTGTATGGTAAATTTTAAAGGATGTGAATCGTCAGACAATGAAATCCTGATCATCTACGATGAAGAAAGCTCCGATGGACCTGATATAGATAAGTTTGCGAGGCAGTTCAGCACTCGTACAAACATTGTGAGAAGTCTAGGGTATAAAGCATCAAAACCATTGCAACCGTTTGGTATCACGGACTATTTCCTTGAAATACGGGACAAAGAAGTTGATGCAACGGGCATTGGGTCATTATTTGAATGTAAATATAATATCAAGGCCAGGAAACTTTTAAAATCCGTACGATTTACAAATGACGGTAACAAAGGCATTATCCTTATAGAAAACAGCGAAACTTCTAAATTGCTTACATCTGAAATTTTTGGAAATGTATCTCTCTTAGGACCAGAATTCAAAACGTATAGACTATCAGAGAATTTTAACGTGACTGTTGACAACCGAGACGAAACAAAGAAAGAGTTCGTTAAAGATGTTAGAGTTAAGAGATGGCAAATTCTGAATGATGTTGGTGCAGAATATTTCAACGAGCTATGCAATGGCTAGTATTTCAACTGTTTATTGTGACGTTTTATGTGTAACAAAATTACTATAAACTGTAAAAGTTTGTTTAGTGTAATACAGATTGAGACATTTTAAGGTGTAAGTAAATCAAGATATTTTTTAATTGTTCCATATTCTGCACGTACATAAACCATTGATAAACAAAAGTCCATCGAGAACACCGGCTTAAGCAGTAGTCAACATATAAACACGACTATAGTGAGCGCATCTCAATGCTCGAATGCTGATGCATGTTTATCTCCAAAAGTTAAATGCTTGCATTTTTCAGTCAGTTTTACAAGCGATATGTTAAAAGATTCCTGAACATGTTTATAATAACATTATGTGTAGATTTAAACTTTTAAACTAATGTTTTATTTTTTTCCAGTGACTACAAAAGTTCATTGTCCACATGATTATAAATGTGCATCAAGCAAAATATGTATATCAATTGAGCAAGTTTGTGATGGCTTTATCCAATGCCCCCGTGGAGATGACGAAGCTTTGTGTGATTTCAAATGTCCAGATCAATGCCGATGTTCAGGATTAATTGCAAATTGCAGCTTCACTAGTTCCAACCTAACAATGATTTCAACAATATCAAAGAATACGCGTTACCTAGATTTCAGTTTCAATGTAAATCTAAGTTCTATCCTGGAGGACTCAGTTCTTATTCTTCCGACTTTGTCCATTTTGAATCTATCGGGTTGTGACATTGAAGTCATATCTCGGCATGGTTTTGACAGAGTTGTGAATCTTATGCATTTAGACTTAAGTTTCAATAATATAAACACTTTGTCTAATTATGTCTTCAGTAGTCTTAAATATCTGGCAAAACTTGAACTTCATGGCAATTTTAAACTTGCTTACATTGCGAAACATGCATTAAGTGGGTTAGCTAATATACAAAACTTAAATTTCGCAAACGCCAAGCTTGTAAAGATTTTAGCAGACTCTTTTTCAGGATTAACTCTGAAAAAGCTAGACCTTTCTAATAATAGAATACAGGAAATAGAAGACTTTGCCTTCAGAGATGCGGTTATTTCAGAAATCAGTTTCCGAGGAAATAGTATCAGAACGTTCAATAAAGAAATATTTACTGGACTAATAGGTTTAAACACATTGATCACACCTGCATTCAAGTTCTGTTGTATAAGACCTAACTATGTCGGTGAGAAAAATTGCTACCCAAAACAAGATGAGTTTTCGTCGTGTGATGATTTAATGCGTAATTCTGTATTGCAATTCTTGATATGGCTGATCGGGATAACAGCGCTTTTAGGAAATTTACTCACCATTGTCTACAGATTACATTATGACAGGCAACGGCTTAAGTTGGGCTTTGGAATATTTGTAACAAATTTGGCCGTTGCAGATTTCATGATGGGACTTTATCTTCTAATTATTGCAATCGCTGATTCTGCTTTCAGAAAAAGGTAATTCTGATTTGGATTCAAAATCAATTTACAGCATTTAGTAACCTTAAAAAACTGCAAATTAATTTACTCAAAGTGGCTTAAATGTTCATGTAATATAGTACATCCAGTACATATACTTATATTGTAATTGGTAATAGCAATTTCCGTTATTTGTAATAAAAGTTGTTATCAATAGTGCCGTGAATGGTCATCTTTAATTATTTAATACAAAGTGTTATTTTGTGTCCCTGAAAGAGAAATATTGTATCTAACGTGTTCGTTTCGTTTTTATCCTTTCAGATATATTTTTGTAGACGACTACTGGAGACATAGTATATGGTGCAACCTTGCTGGCATTTTGTCGACTATTTCTTCGGAATCTAGTGTTCTATTTCTCTGTCTTATTACATTAGATAGGATACTTGTTATCAAATTTCCATTTGGCGGTGTAAGGATATCCACAAAGAAAGCTGTTGTATGTGTTTTATTCACATGGATTTTTTCCTCAATGGTCGCAATTATACCGGTTGTATACGTAGGGTATTTCAAAAACGAGTTTTACTCAAAGTCCGGGGTCTGTATTGCTTTGCCACTAACTAGAGACCGTCCCGCTGGCTGGGCTTATTCGCTTTCTGTCTTTGTATGTTTAAATTTCATTACGTTTATATTGGTTGCAGTAGGTCAGTTGTCTATTTTCGTTGAGATAAGAAAATCTGCCGGCATTGCCACATCGACTGAAACTGCAAGAAAACGGGACTTAAAGGTTGCAAGAAATCTTCTACTGGTTGTAGGAACTGACTTTTTGTGTTGGTTTCCTATCGGAGTACTGGGTAATAGCATTGTTTGTCTGCCGGAAGTACTTAGATAAAAATTCTATGAAGAAGTAATAGTTTTAAGGTTAACAACGCATTGTGTTATTTGGAATAATTAAGACATCATGAAAATTATTTCGACTATAACAATGATATGTCAAAATAAATGCCATGTGATGTTAGCTACAAGTTGCTTTTAAAATTTGGAATATTGATAAAGTACATAACGCTACATAAGCTCTATCCCATAGTTTAAGATATAATAATTGCATAAATGTACTCTTTACACTGTAGGAATGTTGGCACTGACTGGACATGTAATATCTGGAGATGTTTACGCTTGGGCAGCCGTCTTTATTCTACCGGTCAACTCTGCTCTCAATCCAATTTTATACACATTGACTGCAATTATTGGAGGCAAAGTAAAAGATTTTGAGTTTCGTTTTAAAATTATCTATTAAAAAACAATAGTTTTACAAATAAGTTTATTTTGTTAAATATGCTTTTAGAGCTTACACCTTCATACAATTTTTACGCGTTTCGTTCAAGTATAGCGAGAAAATATTGTCTGAACGATGCGTATACACAATATGGTAATGGTCATTTTTGTAAATAGTATTTGCACGTGTTAAGCGTACGATGTCGTGTTAGTATATATAAGGATTTTACAGTAGGTTTAATTCAGTCTACCGGACACTAGCGCATTGTCCAGTCGGTTTTATCTAAATTTTTCATATGCATAATAATATGAGTTAAGGTCAAGGATTGGATATTGATTGTTTAGTTGCTGCAATCATTGATAAATTTTCTTCAAGTTCATGTCGGACATCATTTTACATTAGTGTAGACACACATATGGGACTGAAATGATTATATTATCAATTTATATTGATCAGATTGGTTGAGGTAGCATTTTGGTTTTAATGTTATTTTATGTTTTAAAATACTTAATTTTGTAAATAAGCCGTTTTCGTCCTTGTCTTTTTTATAATAATTTCTGAATTCTAAAGTTTGTAGGGTTATAAAATAAATATACAAAAACTGTAAAAGAAACCATTGACATGTTAAAGTATAAAATTATTTATTACATCTTATTATTCAGCAATTTAATCCAAGTACGGACGAGCAGTCACTGACGAAATTGACAAAGGGTTTGTTACTTTTAATTTCAAAAAGTAGATGCAGTTTTAAAGAGAAGAAAAATACAAATCATTTTCAAAGGCTAAACCTCCTTATTGAAGAAATTTTGGCAATTCCGCTGCAGTCTATGAAATGAAATTTATCATATTTATCATTATTTAAATCATCATGACTTCTAAAGTGAGTTTTGATAATTGATACAAGGTTACAAAGGTAATCGAAAAAGCAATTCTATTTTTTGCTATTGTTGTTTTTTTCCAGAAAGTGGAGAGGCGGCTTTTAAATGCATGGCCATAGGTCGACGACTGACTTCCCGTGCCAGGTTGGCGGGATATGTGTATATGTACGAGTTACCTGATGCGGATGTGCGCGCCTCGAGAAAAGATTGGCTAACGATTGTCTGGAAATTGGCGCAAACACTTGATACATTGCAGTCATTCTCGTTAGGTTTAAAATCACTAGATATCAATTCAGTCATGCTTGGTTGTCGCGGTGGAAAGGTATGGAAAAAAAAAATTTGAAGAATTATCTAAATAGGAATTTTTCATTAAATGTTTAAATGTTGTATATATTTAAAAAGAAATCTTAAACATGGAAAACTTGTTATAAGACAATTTATTTAAATGATATTGAAGCAGTCACTTAAGAACTTTACATGACACGTTGGAAATGTGTGACACATTATATTACAAATAGGGAATGACGCCGTTATAATAATTGTAGTTTTACAGAGCTTATTGCGCTCAGGTCTCAATTTATAATATATACATTGTATCTTCAATGCAAGTTCATTGCGTCAGAACCATTTGTGTCTACAAAATATAAGAACCATTCAAGTCTACAAAATATAAGGAAGTGTGGTGGTGTCTAAAATCTTAGTGAAATGTTTAAACATTATCTAAAACTTGGTGAAAGAATTAGTAAAAAAATTATGCCTAAGAACCAGGTTGAAAGTGATATTAGCTTTTGAACTTTATTTTTGTTTTTATTGTTGTTTTTTTATCATGTTGGTCAGCTTACTGGAGCGGTTAAGGTCAAAGGCGATCCTTTCGTATCATATAAAACAGACGATGGAATCAAAAGCATCAATGACCTGGGGCTTTTATTGAAATTTCTCATTTCTGTTGGAGAGAAGAAAATGAAATAAGTCACATTTTAACCATATCCTGGCAGTCAATCCACCTCAATGAATCTCCTGGATAACTAACCAGAAAATACCAATTTCAACGCAGTTGAACGACTACTTATACCACATGATTTCTGAGTCAGCTTTGAGGTACAAATAATCATTAGACAGTGAGACAAAGGAACATTAGACACAATGTACGCAATCATTTGTAAAGCAGAATTTTGACACCTCCAGCGACTACTGGATCTCTACCTCTTAAAGAGGTGGTTCGGGCGTGCTTATTATTTTAAAAACATTTGTTAACTTTTGATTAGTTGTAGTGAATATATTATTGTTGTTTAGTCTTTTTTATACATTTTTACAGATAAATATACTTTCATTCAGCAAAACATACTTTACATTTAGGTGATTATGTGAAACAAAAAGGTAACAATATATCACAGAGACTCTGGTGCCTGACACTGACACCGCTTTGCTTAGCCCTTGTCAACTCCGGTAGCTTTTTTTACAACACGAGTTGGACATCTATATCAACCATAAATAAATAAATAAATTAGTTTGAATCAATATCCACGTGAATTATTAAGATCAAGTCTCATTTAAGTACTTTATTGAAATGTGATGGTAAATGTGTTCTTGTGCAGTACCATTTTTTTTATCTGGAAATTAAATTCCGGCGAGTTTTGTGTTGCAGTACCATTTTTGTGGAATTAATGTGCGGCGCTGTTAGTTTTGCAGTACCATTTTGCACAATATTTAAATAAGAGAACGTTTCTGACTATTTGTTTTCTATTTATCAATAGAATATCACTATCGACATAATTTTCGTGTTTTCTTTTCTTTTTTTATAGTATTTAAGATAATCAGTCTTTGATGTAAACGCTTGCCATGTCACAGATAAAGTTCAAATAACATTTACGCGTAATTTTTAATGTCTCTTGATATGGTGCATCACTATGTGGTTAGGTACGAGCATGATGATGAATTTTCTGAGTTTCTCTTTTGAAATGAATATGACGACTAAACAATACGTTTCAGTAAATTATGTTGTTTTATTATTATTATTATTATTATTATTATTATTATTATTATTATTATTATTATTAACTTTTTTGTTTTTAAAAGTTTTTAAATTTTTTAGAATATTTTTAATTTCAGTGTTTACTTTTTGGGCTTTTTTTTATTTTAGAATATATTTTTTTGTAGTCCGTTTTATCCAAACACTTAAAAAATTCATTTAAAATTTTAAAAATTTAAAAAAATCAAATAAGCATTATAATGGGAAACCAAGTGAAAAGAAATAAAAAAAAAGCAAATTCAAATTGATATTTTGTATTTTAAAAAATTAAATTGCATGTAAAAATAAGTTTAAAATTTTAAAATTTAAATTATTTTTGGACGAGGTTTTTTATCCGGGCCCCCACTAAAACCGTGGCCACGAATAGTATCTCGGGGAACGAGAAAAATAAAAAAAACAATGTCCCCCTGTCCCAATTACTTAATTATATAAAAAGTACATGTCGTATTTTGATAATTTTTTTGTTTTTATTGTTTTTTTGTTTTTTTTACTCCAATGTTGTGTAACAGTATTATTTTAAGAGAACATAAAAAAGCTGTGATGGTTTTATGGTGCAGGTAATAAAAAATGTGAAAAACATGTACGTTTTTTTATTTTTCCGGATTTGTTAAAATAGTTGAATCTTTTTTTTAATTTTTGATATGACCGCGTCACGACAAAAACCCCAAAAAGGGTTTTCACCACAGGACCAGACCACCTGCGCCTCCCGCGGCAGTCGATCAGATCCATGCTGTTCGCTTACAAAGTTATTACAAGGTACAAATTTATAGGGCGAACAGCATGGATCCTTATCGCACTGCGCGGGCGGATGCGCATGCTGGTCTGGATCCATGCTGGTCGTAAACCTATTATTTGGTTTTGTCGTGATGCGGCTTTATGTATCTTTTTTTATTTTAAACGAAGTGGGGGGCGTTTTTTTTTTGTGCCCTATCGGGAGATTGTAATGATGTAGGAATGTAAATAAGTTATAGGTTTTTGTTATACTTTATCATCGGAAACGCCAAAACATTTGAAAACCGGGTATATTAAATTTTATCTAAAACAAAGGTTTTATGCTTGCCATTTTGAATATAAGTTATGCTATTTTTATATATTCAGGAAAAAAACTATGTAAGTGACACTTCTTTTAAATTTGAATTACCTTAAATTTTATTATTTATTATTAATAATTATTATTATTATTATACTATTATTATTATTACAAGCCTTTTCCGATATAAAAACTGACAAATTTCATTCCAGTTTGGTATCAGACATTTGTTTCAACAGATTTTCATTTCAAATTTTTCATGTTTTTTTTATGCCTTTGAATAATATTTGCATTGGAATAAACAATTTTGATAATTTCAAAATAATATTCTAAAAAGGGCATGAAGTACGTTTCAAGGTACCAAATATTTTTCCCATTTAAGCAACTTTACAATTCAAAATTTCCAAACTTGACAAAGAGGCTCTTTCCCTAATGGCTAGGAAGGGGCTTGTTTTAATTTCTTTCTTTTTTTATATTTAATTATTTATTGATTTCTTTTATAATATTCTTTTTCTTAAAGCTGCATGCCTCCAGATCATGCAAATTTCCGTGAAAAAAATTTTTTGAAAAAAGTAATTTGAATTGTAATAAATTTGTGGAATTACCAAAGGAAGCCATTTACACATTTACCAATGGCACTTTGCAAGCCGATGTAATGTACCAAAAAGTGGGTCAAAATATTGCATAAAAGCCCTTATTTGCGTTAGTAACGCAGTAGAAATATAGTTGCAAATACTAAAAAATCAGTCATTAACCATAACATGTAAATTATTATTTTAATCTTGAATCATTTTACGTTTCCTAAATCGTAGTACATATTTTTTCAAGTTTGATTTTATTGAAATATTTTGACTCATCTGGAGGCATAAGCTTTAATACTTTGTTATTACTATTCGCTTTTTTATATAATTATATTTTTTGTTGTTGTTTTATCACAAAAAATAAAATGTCTCAAAAAATGTGTTTTTCATGTTAATGATACCGTAGTTTTTTTATTTACTCTCCAGATAATTCTGTTCGTGTTCTAGCATGGTCTCCTAAAACGTTACAAATTGCCATCAGCTGTGCGAACAGTGAAAATTATCAAAATGTAATTTCACACTTTTCAATAACGAAACTACTTTTTTAAGATTTTCCCTATTCCCCTACCTCAATTTAATTTTTGCTGACAAATTTTACAAAAAGCAAAGATGAAATTGATAAATAACTTAAATGTCAAAAGTAATAAAAAGAAGAAAACTTACTTCTATTCATCCAAATTATTAATCACAAAATATCGTCTCCTAATTTTTTGTTTCATTTTTACAATCTGAAAAATACATTCCTTCCACATGCAAAACTGTTCTTGATGACATTTGGGCATATTTAAGTATCCTACGAGCTATAACTGCCGTGCTTTATGAAAACTTTGAAAAGCAATGAATAATAAGTAAACAACCCAGCGTTCGTAAGGCAGCCTTTCAACAAATCCAAGTTTCCAATTTCCTAGTAGTTTTTTTCTAATGTTTATCTGTCAACACTTATATATATATTGTCAATTTTTACACATCTGTCAACACTTATATATTGTCTGTTACAATCCTCAATAGGCTAGGCATTTTAGCCAAAAATAAGACCCAACCTCAAACAAATTCCTTCAGAAAAGATATTTGCATATTTGTTATCTACTATATATGTGTTGCTACAGGAAAAAAATCCTCAAAAAATGCGAAGTATAAAATGCTGATGTGTGTACTGATATTTTCCGTGTAGTACGTGTTGATGCTTAAATCATGGCAGCTTTCAAACTATAAATCATTGGGTCGGAGATGCTCCTCGTATATCTAGGTTGCTGGCTTCCGTTTGAATGACAACTGTTCCGCTATGTCAGTATGTGTGGGTAAAAAACACAAATTTATATAAGATTTGATAAAGAAAAGTGCTTGTATTACGTCACACCGACAAAGTATATGTCATATGGCGACTTCCAACTTTACCTCAGTTGCCCTTCCGTGTATTATTTCATGCACGAACAGGAACCTTAGTAGCACCACCGCATTCACGCAGTCTGATCAAATCCATGCTGTTCGCTATCAGTTTCTCTACTTGTAATAGGGTTTGTAAGCGGACAGCATGGATCCTGATCAGACTGCGCGGATGCGGATGCGCAGGCTGGTCTGGATCCATGCTGGTCGCAAACGCACTATGTTGGTTTTGTCATGACACGGCTCAAATATCTTTACATTTTAGTGACCGGCTAAACATTTGTCACAAAGTGAAAGTACGTTTGTAAAATATTGCATTATATTTTCACGCCGAACCTCATTTTTACTCTATATTCATTGATGTGAGATTGCATCATCTTTTGTTCAATTTAGAGTTTTCGGGTGAAATTATTATTTAGAGTATTTTTATGGTTTGCATAAATTTCCATGTATCAATTTAAACATTTTGCCGTTTATTTCACAAAAATCCTTTCAGTAATAAGAAAGTTACATTTTTGTTTTATGAACCAGATATATGTATTATGTCTGTATTTGAAGGACGGGCCTTTATTTCACATAACTATTTTTCCCGCCGTCCCAGCTTTATTTCGTGCAAATCGATTGTTCATGTTTTGCACGATCTGTTTTCCCGCTCAGTACTCAGTAGTTTGCTATATATTGACTAAATTCTAAGTGTTATATTGCAATGCACTGGACGTTATACAGGTCACTATGACGGTGACAGACAAATTATATTTGTCGTAAAATTACAGCTTGTACAAGGTAAATTTAATTTTCTAGTGATTTTGTTTCATAAATTTTTGCTATTTCGTAAAATACTATTTTCTATTAGAATTATAGTTTATTTGATTCAGGTTTAGTTATTTGGCAGTAATTTATTGTTTTCTAAATTTTCTAAATTTTTGCAGATTAAATTTTAAAAGCTCTTTTTATTCTAGTGTTTCGCTATTGCAAATTTATACCGAGACATGTTAATTGATGTATGTTAATTGAATTATATTGTAATTGTATAGGAGCCATGAATATTTTATAGATATATATATATCTATTCATTAATAATTTATTATGGTTCTACCGTATTTGTGTAACTTTATGTAAAATGCTGCAGTATCGTAATGATTTGTTTCAATCAATTTAATTTACGTTATCATCTTACTTCATTTCATTTATCATCAGTTTTTGTTATAAGTAAATACAACGTATCAAAACTAACGTATCTCTAGAGAAGGATCTTCAGTGGCATGATTTTGGAAGACGTTTATTTATTGGTGGTTATTATGTGGCGTATATTTGAATATATTTGAAACGCAGTATTATGCGGATGTGATTGAAGTTTTGTTCCACGGAATGTATGGTGTACTATAGTGGACATTTTGTTTATCCAAAGAAGCACGTTATTTTATTGGAAACCGACAAAGGTCGAGTCTTTTCCAAGGGACTTTATATTTACCCTTATGTTTGATTATCATGGAACTTATCATGTTTTATACTTTGTAGCTTCTTATTTGAGGACACACCCGAAGATGACACGGGCCCTCCACACGTAATGTCCATGGCTAAAGGGTGACGCATGCCCTTGTTCAGGATCCTATCAACTGTGCCAACACTGTAGGAAGTACAGTTACGCTTGATAAGATTTTATACAAGACGCCCGCCATTGTGACGAATTTTGTTTAACAACGCCACCACTTTATTGATACATCATGACAGAAACTTTACGGGAGAAATAGACTGAGATACGTTGATAGTGTTTGTTTGTGCAGTGACTTATCATAGTACTTTTCATATATAATCATTTTTCATTTATAAATATTCATTTATTGTAAATAAATTTGTATATATTTTTCTGTTCTGAGTTGTTGGTTGTTTTAGATAGCAATTGTGGTCGGCCTGGTATCCCAGCGTAGTCCCTATTGTGACAA